TTGATTCTAAAGCTGCAGGAATGTAAATACATTTTAGATGCTATCACGTCCTTGTTGTAAGTTTCAGCTTCCAGTATCATTAGAAAATATGTATATTTGAATACACAATGAGATGTGTTTTGAATCTGTTATAGTGCTTGTGTGGGCTCAATGGTGAAGATTTTTTGTCAGAACAGCAAGTAATTCAAAGTTATGAATGTGAGAAATATGGTTGCATGAAATCAGCTGAACTAGTTTTAGCTAGCTGAAATGTGTAAACTGGACTCAGACTACAGAAAAAGACGTCAGGATGAGCTAACCAGAAATGGAGCTCCGTGTTCACTTGATTCAATGACTTAAAACTTTCTCAAGCTATTCAGTGAAATGACTACAGTCACTAAACTTCCTTTTCCCAGACACACTGCATTGCATGCTCTTGTATATCTTTGTAAACTATTGCTTATTCAACCTCTATATGGCTTCTGAGTGTGGGTCAAAAATGTAACAGATTTCAAAAGGCTATGGCATACTACACATACAAAGACAAATTCACTGTGAATTTACATAATACCATTCCTCAGGGGCTTATCATGCTCTCCACATGTGAAATGACTTTATGTAGCTGCCTGTAATGTACAGGTCTCACTCTTAGTGCTAATGCTAACCCCTTCGGCACATTTAGGACTTTAGGTTTTTTAAATCGCCTTACAATGAAAAACACAGCTAATGCTAATCTGGTTGCCAGAGTCAGAAATCCCCTCAATCATGCACTGACGGGTTCAGTGTTGTCTTCTCACAGAGACACAGAGAGACAATGCCATCCTTGACAAAAGTTTTTGATAGTACCATAGCAATGCTACCACTTTGTACTCATTAAAGTGAAAATTAGATTTTTTTTTTATGTAATGGCCATGTTAAGGTTCATGGTGCAGTATTACTATTAGGCCTCTGATACAAGCACAGACACTTCTCAAGGATCACTGATGTGAGAGACAATGCCATCCTTGACAAAAGTTTTTGATAGTACCATAGCAATGCTACCACTTTGTACTCATTAAAGTGAAAATTAGATTTTTTTTTTTATGTAATGGCCATGTTAAGGTTCATGGTGCAGTATTACTATTAGGCCTCTGATACAAGCACAGACACTTCTCAAGGATCACTGATGTTCAGATGAGTCACACAGCTGTAGGTGTTTTGCTAATGGCTGGAGTCTCGTTGTATAACAATGTATTTACCCTCAAGCACTTCATTTATGTGAATAACGGAGTATTTACGTCAAAGCAAAGTACCTTACAATTAGGAGAGGTTGTTATTACTCTATCAGGGAAATACTGTTTCCTTCTAGTAATACTCTGTTCTACAATTTGTCCAGCAAAATGATTCATTATTGTCATGCAGAGATTTTATTGGCTCCTTTTATTCATTGTTTTTCTCTGGAAAGCCACTTATATGAATCAAGGCAGTCATTTTCCGTAAACCAAGAGTTAACCTGTCTGATCAGGTTGTTCTTGCATGAGTGATCCACATTTTAGCATGACATGACAGTTCCCTCCTACACTTGAGGGCCATGATCAGGCCTGATTCAGAGAGAAGAGAGGTGAAGAAAAGTATTTGGACCCGCTCCCTCTGTCCAGATTTGTGCTGTAGTTATTCTTCTCTCATTGTTTCTGCAGCTGGAGTGTGTGTGTTTTTTGATTTGCTTACGAGGTCAGATTGAAGCATTCAGGGCAACAGATGGATAAAGATCACACGAAAAATTATAACAATTCTAACTCATCTGCTCATATGGCTGCTCTTTCTCCCTCTCATTATTCCCTGAAAAATAAAAACACTGATTCTCTTTTATATGCGTTTGGTAAATGAGTTTGTCTGTAGTAAGGAAATGGTTGGTGTTCCTGTTGTTCCTCAGTCTCACCCAGCGGAGGAGGGCTGCGGGGGGCAGATTATGTCTATATACTGTAATTAAATTTCATTATGTGGTTTTCCTGACATCAGGGACAAACTTCACCCACTTATTTTGACCTAAAGAGCTTCCTTTCCCCATTTTACATAACACCAGTCACTTTATTCATCCTTCTGTCTCTTTCATTTTCTATCTTGGATCGAAATGCTCTATTGTAGCATTTTATGGCAGCATGGGACTAATTCTGTGTTCTGACTCTGTTAAAGTGCTTATGTGGGTGAAGATGTGGCTTTAGTGTAGAGGTTACTGTCTCATAAGGCAGCGAGCTGATGAGCTTGTCATGAGGTATAAACATGCAGACATGTCCTCTATAACAATTCAGAACAGAGAACAGAACTCAGAACAGAGGCATTGAGGATAAATATTTAAACGAAACATGAATAAATAGTAATAAAAAGCGAAACATGGGTGTAAAAATATGAAAAATATGGTTTGGATTTTATTAGATATATTGAACTGAATTACTGAACTACTGAATTGAAATCAGTTGAAATGGACTCCTGACCAGAACTAGTAAACAAGAAATCACATGAAGTCAAGAGTTTTTTGTAGGGTTCCTCTCGTCATTTTGCTCTGTGAGATTGTGAACATCCGTTAGAAAAAGCAGAAATAATCTTCTGCTGTCTTGTGCTTGCTATTCTCACATGGTGAGGATTTGTAGATACCATCTAACACACAACAACCAAAGCTCTGCTTAATGTCTTCAGGCATTTATATTCTGATATTAAAATCAATTTAAAAAGTCCCAGATTCTTCTGCAACACGTAAATCTACATTAAAGAGTGAGTTTAACTTCCTGCTGAAATGGCGTGTGCTTTAAGGCTGGGTGAACAATGGTAAACCATATAACTAAGTGTGCTTACTGAAGGAATGTGTGTTCTATTTGTTTTACTCTAAAGAAAAACTGTGCTCATAGATCATTCACCTCAAAATGGCCAATGCCTATCCGACAAGAACAGCCTCTCGCTACGGTCCAGCTCTCCTTTGGCCCAGGCGCTGATGGATATTTCACCCAGCAGATGTATTTCGTCATTATGCTGCACTGTTTATCCACACAAACATGATCTGAAAAAGTGTGAAATTGCTGTGGAGAAATTTGAGACGGGGCTGGCGTAGAAACATAGAACCACACTTCCATCTAGTGGTGGGGCCGAGGAGTTTGCGTTCATCTGTATGTTCTTTGAGGAGTTCTTGAGGTTCTTCAGCACTGCAATGAGAGTGTGTATGTATGGTGTATGTTGGTTGAATAAAATAAATATATTTTGGTTGAATAATAAAAAAACAAAAACATTTTAGAACATATAAAACCTTTGGATGTGTATGTGTGGTAGATAAAGAGTTTATGAGTTCCTTAGTTCTTTGTAGATAGGGAGCCCGCTATCAGTGAAATGCAAGGACAGCAGACGCTGTGCTAGAGGAAACCTGTTGGAACAGAAATTAACCTTTACACACTCGATTTATTCAGTTTATTCAATGTATTATAGACAGAAAGAGGAATGTGTGTGTGTTTTGAGATGTGCTTTTTCTTTTTTTTACTTGTAAATTGTTTCAGACCCATAATGTTGAAATCCTCTCTGATGTGCTAGCTGTATGTGATTTTGAAACATGCTGAATTGGGATGAATTATAGGTCCTCTCAGGACAGTTGTTGGGGAGGGTTGCCACGCGCTGACATGCAGTAAGGGATTTGGAAAGGAAGACCCAGGGTCTCTAGCTCTCATTCGACACACTGCACAGGGTTAGGACAGGTCAAACAAGCTCTACAGCCAAAACTTACTCTATTGAGAAAGAAAGCAAGCAAGCAAGAAAGAAAATGAAATAAAAGTGTTAAAACTGAGAACTTCTAAAGGCTTTTAAAATATCTGTGCAGATTAATTTGCTATTTTTCTTTATCTAAGCTAAACTACTTGTTTGCTTACACTACAGTTATAAAGTTTTAGGTCAATCGATTTTTTTCCCAAAGGAAATTAATTATGTAGAAGGGATGCATTAAAGACAGTAAACTACAGACATTTCAATAAATGCTGTTTTTTTATATTAATTTTATATTCATCAAAGCATGCTGAGTTCCACAAAAATAATAAGCAGCACAACTGGTTTCAACATTACTAATAGTAAGAAGTGTTTCTTGAGCACCAAATCATTACATTAGAATGATTTCTGAAGGATCATGCGACACTGAAGACTGGAGTAATGGCGGCTGAAAATTCAGCTTTGCCATCACAGGAATAAATTACATTTTAAGATATATTAAAATAGACTAGAAAATAGTAATTTTAAATGCTAATAATGTTTCACAACATTTTTTAAATTAAATAAATGCAGCCTTGGTGAGCATAAAAATCTTCGTTCAAAAACATTTTGTTGGCTACTAACCTCAAGAGTTGAACGATAATGTAGGCTACATATATTTTTACTTTTCGTTATTTTTCATTGGACACAAATAACAAATAGACATGCACCAATCCTACAAAAACAGCAAACAAAGAAACAAATCAATAAAAAGAATAGGCTATTTTAAATTAATTAAATGGCCTATTATTTTAGGTTCTGCTTAGGCAGTAAATGAGAGAAAATGATGGCCAAAAAAAAATGAAACTCCCCCCTCGATTCCCAGGTTCCTAAGAGAGGATGCAGAAGAGGGAGTACAGACAGATCTCAAACACCATATGGGAAGATTCACTCTTAATAGCCTACTATGAAAGATTAGACATGGCCTCTCCTGAAGGAGTTTATCTGTAACAAGATCAAATACGCTTGGTTTTGATTTATGGCTTATTTTGTGGTTGAACTTCAGATAGAGAAAACAGATGACTGGACTATCTCCCATGCAGGGTAATACGATTTCTATAAGACCCGCTTTCAAATGCAGTGCGTTTTTGGACCCACAGGGTGGCGCTCTCATCTTTTCGACGGCACTTTTATTACGACTGTCTGTTACGCTTTACGGCAGGAGCTAACGACCACATGGTCGCTCGTGTTGTGAGTCTGCCGGAGTTTTAAAACAGATCGGAATTGGTATTTAACTTCAAGTGCAGTCCAAACACATTAAAAACATGGGAAAGACTAAAATCAACAAATTCAAACGGCCATCGTTTTCTCCCGATGGTCTTTCATCAACTCCTGTTAAACAGACTGGGGACGAATCAGAAGATGAAGACTCTCCGGCGGCGGAGCTGCTCGATAAAGTAAGCTGCAGCTGCTGTGACAACTCCACAGACTTGTAGTAAATGGTGTTTATGAACCTGAATATCTGAAAATACTGACATAAAAACAATGTTGGCGTAACCGCTAAATATGGCGTGTGTAATGACTGTCAGCCCTGTCACTGATGGCATGTTGGCGTGTTGAATAAATGAAGCGAGTCAGCAGACCTTTACGGCTGAACGGACTGATGCAGCTGTCAGGGAAGAACCAGACAGTATTTCTTAATTTTCAAATACATCTCTATTAACACGTGACTCTCCTTCTGTGTGTGTACAGCAGAGTCAGACGATCCCAGGATTCCTCCAGAGAGATGCAGTCAGGAAAATAGGACCTTTACTGCTGGACCGCAGCCTGGCGGTGAGAGAGACTGCTGCTGGAGCACTCAGGTACACACACACACACACACACTCTAAGGTGACACTGACATACTAAACCTGGGCTGTAGTACACATCCAGCCACCAAGAAAATGAAAGACACAGAAACTCGTCACACAGACTGCATTAATTGCATAGAAATTAGAATGTATAAATTATACAATTTGAATGTTATAATTTCCCTCTGCAGCAGTTTGTCTAATGAGCAACTTGGTGTATTACATGCTTGCTATCATTATTACACTATTCTCTTATCTCTCTCTCTCTCTCTCTCTCTCTCTCAGATGAGACTGACATAGTAAACCTGAGCTGTAGTAGATATCCAGCCACCAAGGCAATGACAGACACACAGAAACTCTGTCACACAGACATTTATTCCATAGATAAGACAAGCAGTAATTATATATATTACATGATTTCCCTCTGGAGTAGTTTGTCTGTTGAACAGCTTAATGTTTGACATTTTTGCTGTCATTATTTCACTGACACAGCTCTCTGATATAAGACTCCTCTGCTTCAGGGTTTATTTTGTAAAATGACCCTTAATTTTCATCTCAGAAATCTTAGTGCCTGCGGAGGCCCTGAAGTGTGTGAGGACATGGTGAGACAGGATGCGCTGACGCCTCTGTCTGCTCTCCTGAGGGAGGTACGAATGCTGGATCAATTCAATTAAAAAGCTTTATTGGCATGACGGTCTTTAACTTGATGTTTCAATATGATGTTTAACATGATTAAAGGGGAGGTCACACTAGACTTTGAGCACACAATTTCTCGTCATGCTCTGTGGTGTTTTAAAAACATAAATTCAACATAACTAATTATAATAAATCCAAAATATACAGTCCACTTTTCTGTAACGCTGCAAACCTGTAGCTTTAAAGTTTGTGTTTTTAATTTCAGCTCATGCTGTGATGCATCAATCTTTTATTGGTCTTAATTGGTATTCATTGATACGAATTTCCAGGGTAGAGTTCAGTTTGGAATGAAGTGAAATGTGAAACAACTCCACATGAGTTTGCACTTCTGGACTCCAGTATTTAAATGCGTATGAATGGAAGTCAATGGCATGAGTGTAGTGTGAACACCCCTTAAAACAGATTTTATTGCAGGATATTTTAGTCAGTCCAATTAAATTAGCATGGCTGTACTTCTCATTCACTTGCAAATAGTCTTAAAACAACAAGAAAATGATTGTGGATCATGATCCTGCCTGGAAAAAAAAATCATATGTGATATGGTATTTTTGCCATATCGCCCACCCATAGTGAGAAAGAGAAAAAAAGTGAAAGCTCTTTTTGACAAGTGTCTCTTATGTGTTTTTGTGGAGAGCAGTGCTGCACTGCCTTTGACGTGAGCTCTTCTCCTACTGTGAAAGGACAGAAACACATGGTGGAAGACGTCGCCAATGAGGCTGTAAACTTGCTTTGGAACCTCTGGTAAGACTGGTACAAAAATAACGACTTTATTCCACATTTTCGTCTCTACTGCGTCACTTTGGATGAGCGTTCACGACAGTATCATGACGCGAGCGTGTGGCGGCGCTGACCCAGATCCGGCGTGATAACGTCATTACGTCGGATCTGGGTCAGCGCCACCACATGGACTACTTTGTCGATCATCTTGGTACTTTTCTGGACCTTGAATGTGGTAGTTACCTTGCTGTCTATGGGAGGGTCAGAGAACCCTCATATTTCATCAAAACTATCTTAAATTGTGTTCCGAAGATGAACGAAGGTCTTGCGGGTTTTCGAACAACACAAGGGTGAGTAATTAATGACAGAATTTTCATTTTTGGGTGAACTAACCCTTTTAGGGTCGCTGGGAAAACCAATTAGCGAAATTGATCAAATTAACAAATTGACGTTTACACTAAAGTGTATTAACAAATGTCCCAAATGTCTTTGATTGTCTTAAGTGTTTCCTGTGAACGCTTGACAGCACATCATCATGCTTTATATATAGTCACTAGTTTGCAGGCTGAAGATTAGGCCAAAATATGAGACTAATCAGTTATCACATTAAAAGCAGTCATTAAGCACAACAGTTAGTGATGCAACATTTAAATACCACATTTAGGCCTAATATACTTACAATAAAAGCAAGGGTTGAAGAGTTGTGTTTAAAACAGTCCAAAGGTGTTCAATCAGATGACATAGTTGTATGTCTTGTATGATCTGTTTTTCCTGTCTGTTTTTCTGTGGATGTGTAGTGAGAGCAGCAGCACAGCTGTGTCAGTGTTTAACAAGACTGGACTTCTAGATGTTCTTCTACACTGTCTACAGAGACACCCTCAGAATATGGAGCTGGCAATATCAGCAGGTGGCACTAGTTCTAGACCAACACATATATACTCTAAGGAAATGCTTATTCAACAAGGATACATAAAAATTGATCAAAATGATAAAGACATTTGCACATTTGTAATGTTACAAAAGATTTCTGTTTGAAATAAATATTATTTTGAACGTTCTATTCATCAAAGTATCCTTAATCTTATTATAACTGTTTTCAACATTGATAATAATCAGAAATGTTTATTGAGCACCAAATCAGAATATTAGAATGATTTCTGAAGGATCATGTGACACTGAGGACTGGGGTAATGATGCTGAAAATTCAGCTTTACCTTCACTGGAATAAATTCCATTTTAAAGTATTTTAAAATAGAAAACAGTCATCTTCAATTGTTATGATATTTTGCAGCATTAGCTTTTTTGTATTTCTTTAATCCAATAAATGCAGCCTTGGAGAATGTAATAGTATACTTGCTTCAAAAACATAAAAAAAAACCATTACATTCCCAAGCTTTTAAACAGTAGTGTATATATAAACCCCCTCAGATTTTTTTATTCCTCCCTAATAAACACGTGGATATTTATTTACAGATTTTCATACCCATATTTTTCATTCTCACATTCCTTTATTTGGGCACTATTTATTGGTAATTGCTGTTGTTTGTGTGTGTGTGTGTTTTTTTCTGTGTAGCCCACTGCTTGCACACAGTAACAGAAGAGAACGCAGAGCTCGCGCGCAGTGTGAATGCAGCCGTGTTTGGGGTCTTGGAAAACATTATGTTCTCCACTCACAGCAGTATGGAATACACTCTCCTGCGATCGCTGGCTGCAGGTGAAAGAACGCATGACACTGGTCGTGTAGTAACATTTACAACAACAACAACAACATTTACTAAATCTACTACTTCCATCCTTAAAAGTGTTTGCAACATGCCACTACTAGCTATAAATATATAGCTAGTAGTACATTAGCTTTTTTGTATTTCTTTAATCCAATAAATGCAGCCTTGGAGAATGTAATAGTATACTTGCTTCAAAAACATAAAAAAAACCCATTACATTCCCAAGCTTTTAAACAGTAGTGTATATATAAACCCCCTCAGATTTTTTTTATTCCTCCCTAATAAACACGTGGATATTTATTTACAGATTTTCATACCCCATATTTTTCATTCTCACATTCCTTTATTTGGGCACTATTTATTGGTAATTGCTGTTGTTTGTGTGTGTGTGTGTTTTTTTCTGTGTAGCCCACTGCTTGCACAATATATATTAGGGCTGTCAGTCAGTTGATTAAAATGTTTAATCTAATTAATCACAGGGTGCTGTGATTAATTAATCTAATTAATCGCAATCTAAATATGGCTGTGAAAATACCCCCAAAAGATAATTTAAAGCCATTATTGTTTTAAATGTTTAGGCTACAATGGCCTAACATAAAGTATGGAACATAAAAAAATAAGTTGATTAAAATGTTTAATCTAATTAATCACAGGGTGCTGTGATTAATTAATCTAATTAATCGCAAACTAAATATGGCTGTGAAAATACCCCCAAAAGATAATTTAAAGCCATTATTGTTTTAAATGTTTAGGCTACAATGGCCTAACATAAAGTATGGAACATAAAAAAAAAAGATATTTTGAGAAACATCTCAGTATTTTTTGTTGATGCAATGAAAGTCACTATTGACCAAAACAGCTTTGTTACCAACAGTCTTCAAAATACTTTCTTTTATCTTGTGCAAAAGAGAGCAAGTCATTCAGGTTTGAAACATGAAGGCGAGTAAATGATGGCAGAATTAATTAATTAATTAATTTTTGGTGAACTATCCCTTTAATGTTTATTTATTTAATAATTTTTTTAATAAATGAAATTATACTCTAAAGAAGAAACTAAAACTACCAGCAGGTGGCGGTAAATGTCTTTATTAGTCGATTCGTTCAAACGGCTGATTCATTCAGGAATGAAGTAAACGGCTCTCTTTAATGAATGGGCTTTTGAATCATTGGTTCATACGATTCGTTCAAAACGCGGATTCATTCAGAAACTAAACACTGCTGTGTTGCTCGGAGACGCACAACAGTTCTGCTGTGGCTTTTTAGGTAATATTTTCGTATATATACATATATATATAAATATATAATATTAATATTTTGTTATTCCTTATTTACTTGTTCTATTTATTTATTTTTTATTCTTTTATTATCTGTGTTTTTGTTGTGTCGCTGTCATTCTGCTGCACTGCAGAAGCTTCTGTCATGAAAACAAATTCCTCGTATGTGAAAACATACCTGGCAATAAAGCTCGTTTCAGACGCACGTTCAGCTAAGTCATGAAGTTACCAAAAAGGCGATTAAAGCTGCCTTAAATCTGTGCTTGCATGTAATATATTTTATATAAGTCACATTTAAGAACATGCCTCTGAAATGGTTTTCAAAACTGTCCTGGAGCAGCCGAGCACTGTCTTACTCATCTAACACACTCGATTCAACTCGTCAGTTCATTATTGAGACTTCATTTATAAAACTCTCCGTAGATTTCATCCTAAAAGTTTACGTAGGCACAAAAGCTAGATTTTGCATACGCTCAAAAGTTATCAGATTTATAAAACCATGCGTACGCCAGAACCTGCGCAAAAATCCCTTTATAAATCCCAGTCAGGGAAGATTGTGCGTACCTATCTCCACCCCGACTCCTCCCCGAAATCACCATATATGGAGCTTACAACACCTAATTTTACTATGCATAACCTCATCTGCATATAATTTCTATGCATATTCCCATCCACGTGACACCATGTTTAACATGGTACATTTAGCATGGTACATGACATTAAGGAAATATGAGATACGGACTATAAATGCCATTTGTGCCATACACATTAATTTTTATTGCTAAAAATCTAAATAGTTCTCAGAAAAATTATTTAGAATAGAGTTGATCTCATTCATTTCCACTGGCCCAATAATATTTCAATTGTTTAAAAAAAATTCAAATAAAATTAATGCAGTTTTGCTGTTAAGGTGAACATGTTTTAGCTATATTTAGTGGAAAATATATATTTATTGCAGTGTAAATACAATTATCTGACTCTACGAGTCATTGACAAATTATTTTAAAAAGGAAACGTGCAAATCTTAGTTTTCTTCAAGTTGTATCCTTCAAATACAGTAGTGTTTTTCATAATGTTGTGGAGATGCCTTCACACGACATCAATACTTCCATGCAGCTGTAGTTATACAGTAAGCTATTATCATTGGTCATATTCAAACCGAACAATAGACCGTTCCACCGAATCCAGCAGTGTCCGCCACAATATCGAAGTGCGCATCATTGATCATTATTCTTGCTTAAAATATGTTCTCATAACATGAGATGTGCAGTTTACTTTAAAGAAAAGTTATTGTGCACATATAGCACTCCTCGCTGTCATTAAAACATAACATACCACAGGAAAAGTAATCAAGTGCATCCACTACAAATAGGCTATGTCTAAATTCATATAATTTTGGTTTAACTTCTGTGTAATGACTATGTAATTTCTGTGCTTATCTCCATTAATGAGAGTGGAATATTTTATGTAAATTTATATGATGAAATGAAAACAGTTTAAAATCGTTGTTTACTTCATTACTTTTCTTTCTCCATGAAAAACACTCCGTACGCATGGGTCAGAGTTTGCGTGCAGGTGCACAAATTTTCCCGTCAAGTTTGTTTTTTATAAATCCCACCTTTTGCGTAGGAAGTGGCATACGCCTCTTTCAGGGCAGGTTTTGTGCGTACGCAATGGTTATAAATGAGGCCCCTGAAGTGAGTCAGAAACGGTAAAGAGAATTGTGAGAAAATACGATGCGTGTCAGATCCACATCATGTGCAGCAGCGGCAGCTCTTAAAGAAAAAAAACAGGCATAACAAGCTAATAACCCAGCTGCTGTGATGTCTGTTCGTCAAGAACAAAAGAAGAAAAAAGAGGAAATCAATAACTTTTTATATAGCTTTAAGGATTCATCTACAGTTGGTACGGAAAGTATTCAGACCCCCTTAAATTTTTCACTCTTTGTTATATTGCAGCCATTTGCTAAAATCATTTAAGTTCATTTTTTTCCCTCATTAATGTACACACAGCACCCCATATTGACAGAAAAACACAGAATTGTTGACATTTTTGCAGATTTATTAAAAAAGAAAAACTGAAATATCACATGGTCCTAAGTATTCAGACCCTTTGCTCAGTATTTAGTAGAAGCACCCTTTTGATCTAATACAGCCATGAGTCTTTTTGGGAAAGATGCAACAAGTTTTGCACACCTGGATTTGGGGATCCTCTGCGTAAATGTTCAAATTGATAGCTCTCAAGTATACTGTAATGTTGAATGGCTATAGTCAATGGTTAAATATTGGGGGGACATTTTTTTTTATAGAGACATCAGTAGTATTGGTATCAATGATACTGGCCTTCAGTCATAAAAAAAAGATGCCATTAAACAAATATTAATCACATACTGTATGTTGTTTGTACATTCATTTGAAGATTTAATGTAAAATTATTGCAATATAAAAGTATATTTAAAAACTTTAATGTTAGGTGGGATTAATCGCAATTAATCTGAGAAAAAATGTGTGATTTAATTAGTTATTTTTTTTTTATTGATTGACAGCACCTATATATATATATATATATATATATATATATGTATGTATATGTGTGTGTTTCATATGGTTAATAGTTGTTCGTCTTTCCTCTGTCTTTCAGGCTCTTTATGGAATCTGAAGAGCGGTCTGTCTTCAGCACAGCAGTCTCAGACGTTGACGGCGCTGGCCACCACTCTCTCACACAGCCTCATTCTGGATGCGGGAGAGCTCATCCCAGAGCTGTGGCGTGCAGAGTCTGCCCGTCTGTCCAAAGAGACCACATCTGCAGCGGAGTCAGATCATACAGACGAACGCCCCGCAGGTCACGAGGCCGAAGATATGGAGGAGGACGTGAGAGGTGAAAAGATGAATGGAGGAAAGCCTAATGGACAAATGTCAAAAACAAAAAATGACATCTCAGATCTGTTGCCTGTAAGTTAAAAGCTATTATTTTAAGTGGAATTTTTTTTTGCACATTTTAGAACATTTTAAATTTAGTTTTAAAGACAGTGAAAATTCTGTGGTCATTTGCTCACTCTCGTGTCGTTGCAGAACAAAGTCTGTCATTTAGGTTTGAAAAAACATGATGATGATTAAACTATGATATTTTTGGGTGCTTTATCTAAAAATATTAACAACAAAAAATGAGCCACTTATATTATTATTAGGGCTGGTAAGCGATTAAATTTTAATCATGATAAAATTACATGATGTGTCGATTAATTAATCTAATTAATTGGAAATTAATCGCACATCAAATTTGGCGGAGAAATTACTCCCAAAAGATAATTTTAAGTCATTGTTTTGTAAAGCGTTAAACAGACATTACAAAAAGTAGCTTCAGCAAGAAATATTTTGTTTGATCAAATTTATTACATATACTCTTTTGGACCTTGAGGGTGAGTAAATGATGACACAATTGTCATTTTTGGGTGGGTGAATTAAACCTTTAATAATTAATTTTATTATTATAACTATGGAAATATGAAATTATTTCTTTAATGAAATGATACTCTAAATAATAAAGTAAAGCTGCCAGAAGGTGGTGGTAAATGTCTTAACGATTAAGTCATCGAGTCATTTATTCATTCATTTGATTTGTTCAAATGGCTGATTCATTCAGGAGTGAAGGAAATGGTTCTTTATGAATGGTCCATTGAATCATTAGCTTGTTCGACTTGAAGCGGATCATCACCATAAGAACGATTGGTGTGTGCAAGAGCTGTAGCTGTGTTGTTCGGAGACTAACAGTTCTGCTTTGTCTTTATATTTTAGTTGGCAAAATTGAGCAAAACGGACAACATTGTGTCTAAAATAACACAATATTATCTTCTTACTTACTGAACTGTTGTATAAGATCAGTATCACATTTGCACTCGTGTGATATTGCTTAACTATATGATGTAAATATGAAAAAAAAACCCAAACAGGGTTTTTTTTGCCCCATAACTTTAATTTTAGGGACATTCTAACTACGTTCTCTAGGCTCCATCACACTGAGTTGTTGCCCTGCCTCATATTTGTCATCAACAGCTGTATGAAATGTCAGATGACCCACATAGGTCTGGGGCGAGGCAAGTGCGTTAAATGCATTGATAATTTTAATGTGTTATTTTTCAGCGTAATTAATTAATCTACCGCATTAAATTACCAGCCCTAATTATTATGGTAAGTTATTGTGTGTATGGAGATCATAGATGCATCTTAAAGACCGTCTCCACTATGCTACTTGACATGAAGGCTATGGCGTGCCTCCTGCACTATTTCTTTCCCCTTCAAACCATGTCAACCCAAGTGATGGCACATCTGTCCCTCAGAGCCAGATGGTTCTCACTCTCTCTAAACACAGAGTGGCTGTCCCCACTTACATATGAGTGTGCAGGGCTGCTGTAACCTCTCTGAGCTCCGGTCTAACCAACCCATAGGGTGTCCTGAATGTTGTCCTCTTTGAAAGTTCAGGGTGAAATTTGATCCGGAGCCTCAAATTTGTGGCCCAGTTTACATCTGGAACCTAAGCAAACCATGTTTAAAATCTCTGTGTTGTTGTGAATGCTCTTAATAATTTCATTTTCTGTTTCCTCCTCAAGTCAGTTATCAGTATTCAGTTAAAGTATCAGTTCAACCATCACTGTATGTGTACAAATGACCCAAACAATTACTTCTGGGTTTTAAGAGAGACAGACTGGAGTTGCGAGGGGCCAAAGCATTGCTGTCAGCACAGCAGACATCACTGGAGATCATCGTCAACATGTGCTGTTCTGATGGTGAGTGAGTGTGTGTGTTTATAGGCGAGCAGGGAAGACAAGACTGTTATAGACAATCCTCAGGATTTTCCTGCTAATGTGCGAAATTAGAGGAATGATTTCTGTGTTTGTGTCCGAGAAGATGAGACAGAGATAATGTGACAAGATAGTGACTGTGTGTTTGTGTGTGTGTGTTTGTCTGTAGAGCCCTCAGATGACGAGTGGGAGGAGATGTCCAGCAGCGATGAGAGCGAGATGTGTGCTGATGGGATGTCAGTCATTTTTTTTATATTTTGTTTTTAGTTTCAAATAAAAATATAATGTTCAAGTAAATCCATTGATAAAAATATATTTTTTTGAATCTTTGATTTTTTTTTTCTTTGAAGTCAGTGAGTAATGGTGTTAAATTGTGATTTAAATGACTGTTTTTTGTGCCTTAATCAAAGAACTCTCACACTCTGACATTATACAGAATCTGTCAGAATTTTTTTGTAATGTTAGGTACATCATATTTTTTTGTGGTTTTTCCACTTAGTGTGTAAAAAATGTAATATCTTCTATGCTTGTACATTAATTTCTAGAGGCATTAAAGGATGAGGAGTTCCTGGAGGCTGTGACCAGTGCTCTTCGTTCTCTACTAAAGATCATGGCTACCAAAAACATCCCTCAGGTGAGAAGCACATTCATTCATTGTTTTTATGCTTCAGCGATACATTATTTCAAGCTTTACTTGGTATTTTGAACTGTATGTGTTTTATGTTTTATCCTGCAGTGTATGACTCCACACCAGCTTATGAGTTTTTGTGAGGCTGCCACCAGCTGTGAGCTGGTCAGCGTGAGAGTTAATGCTCTGGCCGTTCTCGGTATCACAGGAAGCTCTCTTGCCAAAGAGAAAAACACAGCAGACACTCTACAGGTAATACTGACTGTGGCAGAATTGTTAGAATTATATTAATCATATGTATAGTCAGTGGTCGAATTGTAAAAAAAATTCAGGGGGGATGGTGTGGTCAATTTCTTTTTTCGGGGGGTATGTGGGTCCTGTAGCTAATTTTACATAATGATTACAAAATTTGTCTTCATTTTTAAAAAGGTTTTTATTTAATTAAAAATTGGCCTTATTAAATGAACTATTATTTATAAGCTTTTTTTTCCTTCTTGGGCCTGAAATGGAGGCATTTTGGTCAATATTGATAATTAAACTATTTTGCTAAATGTGCTTTTGTGCTGAAACCTTGGCTGGTTTAGGCCTGTCATGGATACATTATGATGACAATAAAACCACCAGTAGGTGGCAGCAAGCCCCTGTTTTGATCAATTATTTGATTCGTTCAAAACGGCTGATTCAATTAGAAACTAAACAAAAGTGTCCAACTGAATGGGCCGTTGAATCACTGGCTCACTTGATTCGTTCAAGAACTGATTCATTCAAGGAAAGAAACACCGTGTTACTATGCACTGTTGTATAAAATTAATAGCACATTTGTGCTCGCGCATGTAGGCCTACTGATATTCAGAAAACGACATTGCTTGTGCAATGAATATAAAAACATGACTCATACATGGGTATTTTTTCTTTAATTGCTTGAATTATAAGGTTATTTTACCTGTATTCTAATAGGCCTCATCGCGCAGTGAATGCTTTTGGACTCTCAAGACGTGTTTTTGTTTGATTTTTGCTAGGTCGATGACTCGATAATGTCAGCTCTCCTATCATCTCTCAGTCCCTCACAGTTACACATACAGCACAATAACATTATGTCAGGGGAATGGTTTTAAATTCTAATGAAGGAAAAATCATACTTTTGTCTGTTGTCGTCTTTTTAAAGAAATTCAAAAGTTGCGCTTGAATCATTTTGCGCGAAAAATGCAGAAAACTTGCTTCCGCTTGTTACAGAAACGAGTTCTGATTGGCCAATCGCCGTTATTCATGAATTATCTCAAGTAGATAATTTTAACATTTCATTGGCATGATGAGTTTTACATAATACACATTATTAATCCAAAGGGGATGGTAAGGGGGGTAAGCTTTTTGTCTTTTTTTTTTTCAACCAGGGGATGCCATCCCCCCTCAATTCGAGCCCTGTGTATTAGTGCCTTTTTGTTATGCCCACAAAAAATACAACATTCAGAAATTATCGTATTTTGTTATAGAAAAGGGACAAAAAATTATTTGATGTAGGGCTTTACAATTAATCGCATGCGATTGTCATGTGCATCTCGTCAGTACAATACTGATAATACTGACAATTAGGCAATATCGCGTTCATTATCGCAGGCGATTCAATCTGCGATTATGAACGCGATATTGCCTAATTGTCAGTGAACTACGGCTCTGTGTATTAAATGGCGCTCCATCTGAAAGCAGGTGATGGAGATTTACTACTAATCACGGAACCGGCTTTACTAATGAGATGCGCTTGACAATCGCATGCGATTAATTGCACAGCCCTAATTTGATGTTAATTTTGCAATGTTAGACCCAATTAAACCTTTTTAATTTAAGTATTATTAGATTATTCTTAGAATATATCTATATTTTACTAAATTATAAGTGGCTACATTTATATCAAATTCTGTAGTATTTTATGACTTGTAATTGTATAATAAAATGTGTCTTTTATGTTCACTTTTATTAATAGCATTGTTTTTTACTGTATATTTGTAATTGCATAGCTTTGGTCAGTTGTTCAGCTAACTTTATTCTCTTTTTGCAGTTGATTGGAAATGCATTACTGAATATCGCAATGAAGGACTCAAACCTGGTAGTGTGCGGGGAAGCGCTGGATGCGCTCTTCGATGTGTTTGCAGATGGCGATGAAGCAGAGAAAGCTGGAAAAAATATTAACCTGCTTTCATCTCTTAAAGCACTTCAGCCAGGGTTTAGAGCTAAGGTTTGTTTAAAGCCAACAAGAAATATTACCACAGATACAAACACACTCATGCATCACATTCACACACCCGAACAGTACTATTAAATCAGACACTCAAATGCCACATCTCACACCTCCAAATGCATGTTCAGGCTTGAGCTCAAGGTTCAAGCGAAACATTTTTTGTCTTCTCTGAGATTGAGATCTGTTGCATAAGCACTGTCTCAGTCTCACACAAAGACTGTCTACAGAAAAGCGCACTCAAATCCAGCTGAACAGATCTGTCTTGGTTGGCTGATCTAAAATGTTCCACTTTAAAACAGTGAAGTACTTTTTCAGCTGCTTTTATAAATTCACAGTCTGACCATTCACAGTACAGCCATTGCTAGATCCTCTGTACTATTCTAGTATGTTCTTAGGCCTTTAGATGGCAGGCTTTTCACAGTTTGGCCTTTTGTTCCCTCACAGCTGCGAAAAGAAGGCAAAGGAAAATACAGCCCTGATCAGCTTTGTGTTCTGGACAACATAAGGATCAACCTGAAGAGATTCATCAGCTACTCGGAGAACCTGCAGAGAAAATGAGATTTCAGAGATCAGTAGCACAAATTCTCTGCAAACATCTCGCCTTGTTTTATTTAGCATTTTCTGTCCATACTCCTCTCTGGTTTTCTTTTGGTTTTATTGTAATGTGAGAGTGTTTATGTGCGGAAATTAAGATAAAAAAAGTTTGTAAAACCAAACATATATATATAAGTGCTTTAATTAAAGCATAAACTATCATAATGGTCTCTTGTTGTTGTTAAGTATTAGGATAATCAGTAGTGTCTGTGTTTTTGACAATGAATACTCCATTGGCCATCAGATTTCAGCATTTAAACTGAAGAGTGTGCGTTAAACAATGTCATCCAGTCTCATAACAGATTCCCCTTTACCTCCCTGAATATTCTGGCTTTTGGGTTTCTGGTAAGAATTGTCCTTGTCCTCAGTGAGATGATCTGTAAAATGTTGATGGATCAATTCCCAGGGATTACTTAATAAACACTGTTATGTTGCTATGTTTCCCTCTCACCCAGTCCATAATAATGCAACAACAACAAAACCCTTTGTTGCAGCATTTTATGGCCCACAGCAACAGTAGATTATCGGATGTTTACGAGTTGTATTAGATCCCTCATAAACCTGTCTACAGTGACAAAAACATTGTCTTGTAGATCTTACGTTATCTTTAACTTTTTGATCACTTAATGCCATAAGCATACTTAGTAGATTAGTTTTTCCCCCAATTGAATAAAAGAAAAAGCATATATGATTAAATATCTCTTGATATTTAGATCAAATTAACCCAGAAGAGCTGTTCTCCATAAAATAATACAAATCGTTTAGTCATCAATTACCAATCATCATATTGTTCAAAACCTGAACGACTGATTTTGTTCTGTGGAACACTATAGGATACAGTCTCAGTCACCATTCACATGCATTGTATTAAAACAGATACAAATAAAATGAATAGTGAATGAGGCTGTCTGTTCCTAATACTCATAATTTACTCATTAAAAAAAAATACAATTTATTTTTTTTAATATTAGGTGTTTGTTCCTAACATCTTTTGAGTTTCACTGAAGAAAGAAGTCATTCAGATTTGAAACGGCATAAATTATGACAGAATTATATTTTATTATTATTATTTTCTCTTTAAGTGGTAAAAAAGAAACAGGTCTGATGGTCAGACCTGTCCCACAGTAATAATACTGTTGTTTATATTCTATTCGCGGACTCCAGTTCCCAGTAATCTAATTTCTGTCACTGCATTACAAAATATTCCAATTAGAAGATAACACTGAGACCCCACGAACTAGATATAGGACTCATTGGATTAGCGCCACCTTTTACAGGGTACGTCAGAAACATGACACAAACGAGAGGTTCATATTAGCCTACTACTAGTGCTGGGAATCGATTCAGAGGCGCTGGGAATCGAGAGTCGATTCAAAAGGTTGGAATCGATTCCATCAAGAGGAATCGAATCCTCATTCAGAGCCCTTTTCAGTTCAACAAAGCTCATCTCTGGGTGCCTCTCGGAGGCTGCATCCTACGAAGTCTGCGCACATTTAAATTCACGAAAATAAACTGAAAGAAAACGAGTCGGTACTGAGATCATCTGAATTTTAGGATGCAGCCTTCCGTTTGAGAAGCACAATTCGCCTCCCTCATGCTCGCTAAAAGTGATTAGAAGTCATTACAACCAGTTCAAGAAAACCGACTCGGAGGTTATTTTACGGTGGACCTGCTTGTCCACAATTTTGAGCGCTGCACGACAGAATAGATCATGACATGATCAAGGGTCTTGATCTTATTTCCATCTAAAATACTATTTTAAGATTGACAGATAAACCACGAGCTCTATCAGTTATTGTTATTGTTCATGTTCTGGTTATTTGGTTTCAGTGTACAGTTTGTTAATTTTGTGCAAAGCATACAGTCAAAGTAAACTTCATCATTCAGCTGAAGTGTGCACATTTACTTTAGACACTTCATGTCATGTTTAATTCATGCGGTAAACGCATGTACCTGCTGAGCTGTGGGCTTTGGCTAATTTCACGGACAAAGCAGACAAAATTACAATTTATGTATCGTCGTTTTTGTTTTTGTTTTTTACAAATAAAGCTTCATATTATGAGGAGGATACTTTCTACGGCCTTTATCCTGCAGTCATAGAGAGATGATAGATTCCTTCAATCTAACAAAAAAAAAACAAGGATCGAAAAAGAATCGAAAATAACAGCGAGGAATCGATTCCCATCGATGCCAGAACCAGGAATCGGAATCGGACTCGACTACTACAATGTAGCAAACCCACTGTTGTTACGTAACAGACACTCTTGCGTAACACGCGCTCGCGCTTGTCCGCGCATGCGCAGCCGCGCTGTGGTCTGTCCGCCATTGAGACACACGATCTCCGATAGAAACGGGTCAGAGGCAGTGACACAGACGACACTCACGTTTCTCCATTCCTCGTGCTCTGAAGTTTGACGGTTACCGGTTTTTAACAACGTCTTTTTACAGTCCGTTTACACTGGTGTTTTCTTTTTTTGTCCCGAGATACGTTTGATGGACCAGCACAAGATATATTAGCAGCGTTTAGCGTTCCCGTTAGCGGGTTAAGCGAACCGAGCCTGGCTCTGCTCTGGGGGCAAGTGCGCCTGCAGCAGCTCAGCGTTTGATGGATCCTAGAATCGCCTGGTTTCAGCCAGAACAGCGCGGACCTGCCAACAACCTGTGGATGCACATCTGGGAAACGACGCAGACGCTGGGAAACCTCTACTTCAACAACAACTGCAACACAGCCAGCGCCAAACTCACGAGCGGCGGAGGCGACGGTGCGTCGAGCAACGCGTCCGACAGCAGCGGCAAGCCCAGGGATCATCAGGGGATGTCTGGATCCAAACCCGACAGTGAGGTCTCCGAACAACTAGACTTCATCCCTCTGGAAGCTAATAACAACAATTACGGCGGCGGGAGGGCAGGCAGGGGTGTCGGCGGAGGGGGGCAAGTGGGTGGCAGCAGGGTCGCGGGAGTGGGAACGGAGTTGCCAAACAAGAGGAAAAGAGACAACAAGGCGAGCACCTTTGGCTTTAACAGGAGTCTGCTGCTGACGGATGGGGCGGAGGACATTTATACGGGCACACCGTGGAAGAGCAGAAACTACTCGGAAGGCATTGTGGGGTGAGTGCAGAAGCCAAGTTTATATGTGTGGGTGTATGATGATAACCTCGGCGCAGGGCCCGGTGTGTTTGCTCGGATTCAAGAGCTGGCCTACGCGTTGACACTAAACTGAGGGCGCTTCAGTACATGTTTAACCTGTCGTGTCCTGAATAGGCAGACTATAATAGCACGATGTTGGACCTGCGACCGTCCATTCACTAAAATAACTATTAGGTTCTCGCTGGTTTGCCAGTGGTTTGACATTCGAGCCGTTTCTTCACCATATTTGGCATGTCTAGAGTATCCGTGCTATCCTTCCATTTAAATGACCTGCGCTGGCTTGTCAGCTGCTCCACTGACATCTCTCTAGTGCCAGAATCCCCAAAAAGTCAAGTAGCAAAAACACTCTGTCTATTTAGTCTTAAAGGGATAGTTCACCCCAAAACGATCACTTAGTCTTCATTTACTCAACCCTCTTGTCGTTCCAAACCTGTGCAGCGTTTGTCTTCTGTGGAACTTGAAAGAAATTGTTTTGAACAATGTTGGTTACTTTGACTTTGTGTGGACGAAAAGTAACCTTTTCTTTTATGTTCTGTAAAAGAAAATCACAGGTTTGGAATGACGTGAGGGATAGTAAATGATGACAATTTTCATTTGAGGGAAGCTATCTTTAGCTGCTGCTATTTACGAGCAAAATAATGCATGGTTTCTGTCATGATGCCGTAGTTACTACAGTGGTTGGTACTAAAAGAAGAAATGTGGTTACGTTGTATCAGCTTAACACACAGTTTGATGGAGATGTGTAATGCATTACACAGAGTTGCTCTACTGTAGTTACCACCTCTATTTATCATTATCTTAATATAATATACACCTTGCACTTCACACTCAGGTTACTTAATGATCATAAGTCATGATGACATTGACTTCCAGTTTTATTGCTGTCGTTACTACAATTGCTGCATAGTTTTTCTGATATGAATAAAACGCCTTGAAAGGGATTGTTCACCCAAAAATGAAAGTTGTCATCATTTACTTACCCCAAAGTCATTTCTGAAGTCATAAGACTGAGTGAATTTGTGTTCCAAAGATCAACAAAAGTAAATGACAGAATTGTTTTTATTGGCTGATCTCTTTAGATGTGGAATGTGTGAAATGAAGACAAAGCAGCAACATACTCTCAAAGTCAAACCACAAATTTCCTGTACCAAGAGAGGTTCAATTAGATTTTAATGGCTGTACTTTATTAAGGGCATTAAATGTCTATAAGCACATCTTTCAGTATGCACGAGAGGTCGGTTGTCAAACGGTATGAGGTGAAGCATGTGGAAGTAGTGCTGGATTGTGTAGTGGTGTGGTTTTAGAATTGGGTGTAATGGGTGTGGTGGTTTGTTAGGTTTTTGAAGGTTCAGACTGCCCTACTTTGTGATATGTGCAGCAGCTTGTGGAGCCCAGAGCAAAGTACAGCCAGCAAGCCTTATCCTCATTTATAGTAATGTTAGCAGTGTGTTTGCATAAGAGCATTCATCTGTGATTACTCTAATACCCTAGTCCTCACCTTACAGACCTTCTTACCTGATCCCCCCTCACTGATTTTCCTGTTTCTGGAATAAATGACTCCTGTCAGCTCCATCTTGTAGACATATGGCGAAATGCACAGATTAAGTGCAGATTGACTCACGTTGTAGCTTTGTATGCAGAGCGCATGTCTGAGATGCCTTAAAGATTTGAATCTGGTTCTGGGATCATTTGTTGTGGATTTTAGTCTTTGTCATGTCTGCAAGCCGAAAACCAGCATGTGAAATGTGCTTGCTTCCTACAGCACTAAATATTCCAACCTACATCATATAAATGTTTTGTGGATGTGCCATTTGGAGGCTAATTTCACACTATAATAATTTTTGCTGTTCTGTTCGGAGGTGTGAGAAAAGGGACAGATGGTTTTATGGGTGTTTCTGAGTGTGGAGAGATTTTTCTGTTTATATTCTCTGTGTGTTGAGCAAGTTCCTTCCCTGTTCTACCCAAAACAAATGCTCCCCCTCCCAGCTGACACACGATCCCCGTCTCTGTGATGT